AAAATTACACAAATGAAATCGCACAGTTTCTTTGCAATGATGTTAATTTTTCAGAGTGGTAGGTTTGTTTTAGTATGCGATTTTTAAGAACAACCATCAACTTTGGATACTGCTCGTAGATTTGGCCTCCAAAGACTTCTTCATAGATTACAGTTTCTTTGAATATTGCAAGTATACGCAAGTATAAGTTTGATTTTTTACGTTTTTTACGTTTGAGTGTCCTAATGATCACTAAATATTTTGTTTGTTTTGAAGTAACATTTTCAATGTCAACATTACTCTTTGATTCAATACCGGAGGAAAGAAGCATATTAGAGTACAAGTGACGAATTCATTAAATAAACCCTTGCATTGGAAGGCCATCTTTAATTTAGTACATTAACAAGAACTCCATTCATTCATCATCACATTTTTCATTTAGTTTTGTTGGTAAAACAGTTGACCCACAAACACGACAAATCTGTTGTGAGGAAAACTATGCTCGATTTCGAACACTAGGGTCGCACGTGCAGGTTAGTTTGTCAATACGACAGTTAGAATGGATTCACTGAGATGACATTGCAGTCCCGGCTGTTTCAGCTAATTGCAATAATCTGTGCTGTGTATGCATCAGGTAATACACAGCATCCCCTCTCCTCTTAACCACTCCCCCTCTTTCTCTCCTCCCTCCCCTTAACCCCTACCCTTATCCACTCCTCCCCTCTCCTCTTCTACTACCCCTTCTTCCATCCCTCCATCCCAAAGCTGTATCGCACACTTCATCACAAGCCTGATGAGGCCACTTCACTAACTTTGCTCTTTTACGGGGTTTTTCAAGCGACAACTGTGTTACTTTGAGACTGACACTAATAAGCTGCTTTATTAATTTCTACTTGAACACGTTGTAGGGAAGACTTAAGTGCATGCGTGTTTTAGAAACATGTTTACTTACAGTTTTTTGATTTACCAGGCTTTTATTTATTTATGTCTTTCAACGGTTACACGATCTTATTTGTCTATCTTAAATAAAATACTGACCAAGTGTTCGGTGATATATATGAAGTGTGAATAAACAACCTATAGGAAATCATCTTTGAATGATCATTTTGGCATGAGGTACAGAATAGTAATCAGAAGGTAACAAATGTTAAATTAATATTTATTAAATAATGGTTAGCTCCTATCTAATCTATCCGGTTGTTCCTCACACTTAGCAAGAAAGCATAAAGAGAAAAAATTAATATTACGAGTGATAAATAAAATAAAATTTTCCAAACTAAACAATAAATTATATTAATATCCAATTAGTTAATGGTTAAGCTACAAATTGGAACATTCGTTTTCCAGCCTTCCTCTTTTTTATGTATGGCCAAAACGTACTCTTTCATATGAGATATATCCCTTTATTTTTCCTTTGGATGTGTGAGCCCAATGCCTAAGGTGGCATTTGCATTAATGGGTCGTGAATTATCGCACACTACATCCATTGGTGATAGGTGAGATTTGAACTCATGGCATCAGGTTATGAGCCATACTCTTTAACAAATAGACCAACAATCCAACATATCACGTAAATGATAGTTTTATGTATATTAGTAGGCTTACACTTTGTGCTTAAAAAGGCAATACAACGAAATAACTTAGTATCTTTGACTAGTCCTACCATTACATTGGGCCATAGTGTGCTGAAGCCAAATACAATTGTCTGTGTATATCATGCTAAGGCAACTAGGCAACTTATATATAGTATTTTCATATCCCCATCTACTTTATACCTTGATAAATTTACTTGAGAAACTATAACTCATTCAACTAAATTCGTAAAAAAACATTCGACACCAACATGTCCAAATTAAAACGATGACTACTTCACCAGCCAAAGTGAATATTATTTGGATAAACAGAAAACATGAAAATGCTATTTGTTTTGGAATCTGTAACAGGGGTTGTATAAATCCAAACAAGATGAGACAGGAACGCTTCTTCAATTCTTGTCACTAATATATCCTGAGGCCACCCTCCCCCCTCTCTCTCCTCTCATACCCAAACGCCATTCCGCCCACATCTAATCCTTCGTCGGTATATAGGGAAACTAATAAATAATATTGACTGCTTAAATAACATCCTTCAAACATGCGTTGGAGGCACACTTGTGGGTGTAAGATGTTTTCCAGCATAAATGTATTTTGTCAGACAAGTCGGATGAATGTTAAAGTAATTCTTACGATTGAATAGACTGTTTGTTATATGCAAGGAAGGGTCGTTAAAAAAGAACTGTTAAATCGTAACAATTGTACGTTAACTTTTTATGCTGAAAAGACACTATATGGTAAAAATCAAACCATGCTACACTTTATTGGCCTGCAGTTCAACTTACCATTACCAACTACCATTTTGTGTTATTTCACAACTATTATAAATTTTGCTAGATAGTATTGAAAACAGTGTTATTAGCATGTATAAAAACTTCGCCCGTTTTTTGCAAGGATAAGAGCCTAAAATAATAATAAAAATAAGTTCTGCAACCGTTATACAAAACCGTTAGTATTACGAAAGATAATAGGAGTTTGTGCACTCCATTCGACGTTATTATAGAATAAATAACCATACAACTTAGCTGTATAAAATGTCAAACTAATATTATAAATGAGAAAGTTAGGATGTATATGTATGTATGGATGTTTGTGACAAGTGAACGCGAAAAACACTGGTTGGATTGGGCTGAAATTTGGTGTGATGATAATTTTGATAATTGTGATTTAATTTAAGCAATATTGAAGTAACATAAAAGATATTTCCCACCTAAAAGATATTCATTTATATTAAATAATAATCAGTGGATTTACAGATTCAAGTTTGATATTAAAAATGTCAAAAATAATGAAAAATAAATGGAAATGAAGGTAGATAAAGGTAAATCATGTATGTGAAAATGTTAATTGAAAATTTTGTAAGATTTTCACATATCGGTCTACACAAGATTTAAAATTATTCAAAACCGAAATTGAGTTTTCCACTACTTACCAGATTAAATAGCCATAAATGTTTCTATAAAGGCCATAAAAGTTGAATTTTGGGCTGCACTTTGGTATCTGTTCTTCCCTCATTTGAATGAATATATCGAATAATCTATAGCCTACATCGATATTTTTCATTCGAATGAGTATAGGACAGACACTTTAGTAAGTGCATCCAAATTTTGTTACGAAAAGCGATAGTGGATGTGTAACTATTTTATACAACAAATGTAAAGATCAAAATGTTTCTATTTTGTGTCCTCTTCCCGTCGCAAAGCACGGGTATACAGTTAGTTTTTTATAGATTTGTTTAATCACTGAATAATTATTTTGAAGTAATTCGCACCTATTAAATTTAAATGCAAAGTGCGTTGTTAAGCATACAAAAGATAGAAACGTGGTTAACTTTGAGCAAAAGATGTTCTTAAACACTCAAGAACGAAGGTTTCAAACGATCTTTGCAAACAGCTCCACAACGGAAACAAATCTACTTTTTCAAGAAGATAAAAGGTAAAGTGAAAGATTTATCATTTGGCAGTTGTGATTACCGCTCGTTTAGCTTTCCCTTCACACCGTCTCTGAGCCTTTCCTTTCTGGCGCTCCATTGTTGAGCTCCGCAACAATCATTACTGTTGATTGTTGAGCGCAGAAGATATTATTGTTGATTGTCGATCTCAACCAGTTGATTTATTTTTATGATTGAGCTCCACTAAGATTTCGTTCACTGTTGATTGTTGAGCTGCGTCAGAACAATTTTTGTCAATTTAAAAGAAAAGGAGTTTTTATTGTTTAGGTCCTCCGCAGTCATTATTTTATGCAATTATTTAAAAATCATTATGGTTAATTGCTGATCCATACCACATTTGTAATTGTTCTTGATCAAGTCTCACCAAAATTATTACTCTTAATGTTTTAGATTCAAAACTGATAGTGTGATGTATAATGCTATTCAAACCATAATGTTTTTCATTTTCGCTAAATAGGGTAAAATATAGGAATAACAGTACACGATATAAGCTTTCATGCCCCTCAACTATCATGGTATGAATAAAAAAATACAGTTTTAATAGTAGCATACGACGATATAAATAACTCAGTTCTTTACAGATTAGTTCATCGTTGGTAGCACACTGTTAAACCCGAGACTAATTCATTATGTCTCTCAAGTTTTTAAAAAAACTAACAGTCTATATACTTGGGATATCTATTTTAGTATCAACAGTTTATGGTTAAAAGTATGAAACAAATAATTGAATATTCATACTGCAAAATGAAACGTAAATTGAATAGAAGCCCTGCTCAAGTTGAATGAAGTTACCGAGGATATAAATAAGGGAAGAACAAGTTATTGTTCATCAGTTGAGTGGCGCGTGCCGAGGTACAATATAACATTGGTCTGGTGAACTCAGTGTGTCTCTTAGCAGCCAAAGACGCCTAAATTTGGTTCAGTCGTGTTTAAAATTATAATTAGAGTCCTAAAACAAAGTCATGAGTTTTATTAGCTAGAATATATTTTGAGTGGGCTTCTAAGTAAGATATGCAAAATTAAGTAAGATAAATAGTGGAACATAAAGTGTCAGTAGACAGCTCTTTTATATTTTTATAATAAAAACAGACGTTACTCCGTTGCTTACTAACCATTTGTTTTCTAAAAAAAAAACTATGTTAATAATTGTTGCTTTAGTTAAAATCTCTCTCAAATTATTAGCCTAATCTGTAGATCAAATCACAAAACTTATTAAATTTCATGCAACAGCACACACGACGTTTGATTTTGCGGCCATATTTGGGACACTAATGAGCTAAACGGATCACTTTGACGCTGTCAACTTGAACCAAAATACACCAGTGACAAAGTAATCCAACGTCAAGGTGATCCGTTTTTCCTTACCAGTATTTAGGCTGATCAGTCATTGAGCTAGGTTCACACCAGGAGCACCTTGTCGTGTTTTCGTTATCACACATCTTTAGGCTTAATATAAAGTGGTTAAACCTACTACTCACCACCGCCATTTTGGTAGGCCAAGTAGGGGAATCTCCAGACGTTCCCGATGCCTACGCTGAGTCCCACGCAGGAGAGGAGGAATTCCCACCGATTCCCCCAGGATCCTCGTTCCGCCACGGCTGCTAGGGAGGGACGTCTGATGGCGGCGTCGATGCCTCCGTAGGTCGACTCTCTGCGAGCCACGATGTGCGCTGAGAATCTCCTCTGGGGCCGCTCCTTGTCTACGGAATACTGTCGTTCTCTGTCCCGCAGCGACCCTCCGCGACGACCTGGTCCAGTCATGGCCTCTGGAATACAAGAAACAAGGATTATATCATTGAGTTAGTGACAAAAAACATTGTAATCTAGTCACTGCATGCAAAAGCTGTCCTGTATGCAAAAAGGATGAAACTAAAAAATGTGAGGGCATCTCATACAAGTTTATTTAGGTTTAGGTTTTTTTTTTTCAAATTCTGGTGTGAACTGTGCCATATAGCCAACCATCGTGTTTTGCATTTATTAACAAATGGGTAAAAACAACTTTTTTGTTACTAATAATACTACTGAGCTTTATTGAGGATCCAAAACTAAGCGTTTCCAATTGTACAAGTAAAATGTGGGGAAATTAAAAAAAAAATTTGTGTATGCTTTCGACTTTTAGTTAGTTCTACATGAAAAGCCCCCAATCTTACTTCAAACAGATGTTTCCGGTTATCTTGGCCAAAATATGACCGCTTTAAGCATTACTTATTTACTAAACGCAAATCGTAGGACACGAAGACAGAAAATAGAACTCCAGAGTGCTTACCATTTATGTTTTTTGGCCAAAAACGATGTAAACATTAAACCGAGCTCACACAGGAACTTCATAAACATCGCTCACAGTAAACTAGAAGGGAATTGCGTTTTAATAACTAAAATTTGGAAGGTATCCACCACTGTTTGATTTATAGTTTCACCAGATGTTCTATCAACTAACTTTTATCATTGGTTAACAATTCTTTTCTTTTGTCGTCTAAGGTGTCCGTACTTAAATATTTATTCGTAAGAGTATATCGAACATCAAATATTGTTTATCGTTCAAAATCCAATTTCGCTTTCTAAAAACAGACACGTTTAGCTGTCAATAACAATTTATTTTAACAGCCAATATAATGTAATATGACCATTTGACTTTTTACAAATGGCCCTGCTTAAGAAACAGGTTGGCTCAGTCAGTAACAAAACTACAAAGGTCATCTCATTTCACTCTACACTCACCCTTCATTCATGTTCAACAATATACACCAAATATTGTGTCTTCACGTCTATTTACTTATCTATGGCTCTACATAAAAATAACTATGAAATTGAATTGTAGTGGCCTCTATAAGTAAATAACCTTAAAAGATGTCTTAATTCCCCTTAAAAAATAAATAAACACTATTTATGAAGGTAAAAAGATAATTCATGATACATTTTAATAGGTTGTCTCTCAGGATCCAGATTTAGTCACAAACCTTGATTTTGTTGATATTTCTGCTTTTGATTTTCGTGAGAATAAACCGAGCCGATGAAACAGAAACACATAAATCCAAATGACGCCACAAACAACACAAGTTTAAAGCGTTGGACTGGTTATAAACAAACAAGTCGTGTTAGACTGTGTGTCCTACACGGTCCAAACGCAGGGTAAATAAATTATCTATCTGGACGATAAAAACACGTCACTCATTACAACATTTACATACAACATATTATAGATTATACAAGAAAAACTTAGGGGTTTTTAAAAATAAAATACAGTGAGAAGTTATAAATAAACTTTCACGAGTGCATGTAAAAAAGTAAGTGATTTCAAACTGAAGCTTAAAACATCTAGTTAACTTTTAATACTTTAATACTTTCGTATGAAATGGCGACCATACGAATGTAGGTATTTTTAGCGAAGTATAAATGGTGAAGGGTGTAATAGCTCGATTTTAGTGAGATTCATATTTTATGCTAAGAGCAAAATAAAAAAAATCATAAAATATATATTTTGCTAGTTATAAGACTTTGACTTTGGGGGTTTGACTACTCAAGTTCCAACAATAGAAAATTTAAAATAACGACCATAAAACTGTCAATGGAAAAATGATCCAGCAAAGCCCAAATATCGTTGAAGACTAATTTAGTATTTAATATTAGCACAATGCTATTAATTTAACATTTTTTCAGATGTTTGCATTTTTCTAACCATGGCTAGTTTTGTGATTATTATTACTGATCATTTATTTTGGGGTTTAATGGTGAAACTGTTAATAATGCAAAATAACATTGTGAAGCATTGTTTAAATTTCGTTTACCATATCGAAAAGCTGAGTTTAATAAGGACTCATACTCAAGAGAATTCTAACCTAGATTACACGAATAAATAAAGTAATATCTAATATGAGGATTGAAAAACTAATCATGTTCAAAAGTCGACAGATTATTTTCCTATGTGCTGATTATAATTCTACTCCTAAAACTCGCAATCTAACTTTATGGGAATAGCGCCGGGTAGTTGAGAATGGAATTAGTTGAGGACCATAATGGGTAATGGGCCCATGTCGGACCTCACCCACTTCCGGTGGGCAGTACATCCATCTCCCCCCCCCCTACATTACCCCCCCCCCTATAATCACCCTCACAACCATCCCTTTGTATACTGTGTAGAGAAAGGGATTCACTCTCAACTATAACTAGACTAAGTGTAGATTGGAGTCAAGCGATTACTAAATGCTACAATGAAACCTCGATAACAAGAGGTTTTTGATAAGAAGTGTCATTTTTAAATAGCTTTGAATTTATATTGATTACCCAATGAGGTGTAATTGCAATCATCGATAAGAAATCAACGTTGATATTTGATAATCCCTCTGAGAGCCGCTGCGAGGAGATGTTTTAGAAAATAACTTTATTTTTATTTCTACACGACCATACCAATATAATCTAAATGTTTTAACAAATAAGCTGGTATAATAAATATCTAAAATAGACCGTATCAGCAATCTGACACATACTTTCTCCCATTAGCTTGTAAACAACCTTTATCATGGGTAAGCGGGAGTAACTATTATATTTTATAGGGGAAATGTCAAAAGTTGCAATACAATTTGAACCGTAATTATTTCAGAAATGGGAGATTGCACTATTTTGTTAGAATTATAAGGACCATATACATTAATTTGAATCAAAACCGGCTTTTTCCTAAAATCAGATTTTTTGTTATTTTATGGCGTTTTTATGGGAAAATAACATAAGTTACAATAACGTTGGAACCTTATTTTTTACGAAAATAAAATTTGTATAATTTTGTTCAGAACTTAAAGGACTATAACATACTAAATTATTTTCAAAATCGGAGATAAATTAGTACCTACGTACCAAATTTCATCAAAATCAACGACCACAGGTGTAGTCTGTAGCTCTGTACACATCCACACACACACAGCCATCACTTCGAAAACCACTTTTTTTGGGTTCAGGGGGCCCAAAACGGATATATCCACTCAAAACCCGAACTCGATAACTCGAAAACTTTGACGAAACCATTACTTTCTCCATATACTATGTATAGGGGGGAAAAGTTACCCAAAACGGATATACCCACTCAAAACTCAAACTCGAAAATTTTGACGAAAACAATACTTTCTCCATATACTATGTATAGGGGGGGAAAGTGACCCAAAACGGATATATCCACTCAAAACTCAAACTCGAAAATTTTGACGAAACCAATACTTTCTCCATGTACTATGTATAGGGGGAGAAAGGAAACTGGAAGGTCACTCAGGTAACTTTTTATATGTTGAATCATCAACTTCACCAAAACCTAAAACCTACGTAATATATTTTGTGGCATAAATTACCAATACGCCAAAGAAACTACATAATCTTTCAGATCCATGCCATCGAAAATTCTCAACCAGCAAAATTAGTTCTTCCATCACTTTAAAAGCACTGAATAAAGGACTATGTTTGTCTTAGGTTTCCTTTGTCAAAACATTTAAGACGATGTTCCACAGTAATCCAAGTGCGGCTCAGTAAATTACATTTGCATTTCAGATCTGTTAACCACCCTGTGGGCGTTTCTTCTGCCTTTGTATTTAGCATTTCGCCGCTCTTTTTCCGCTAAACACATTTCTTCGGAACAATTTAATTAACGGACCTGGATGGGAAATTGATCAAAAGATAAAACTAAACCCAAAAGCCTTGCCAAAAGTATTATAGGTGCAGTCAGCAAAACCTTTCATAATTTAATCGGTTTAAATTTTAATTTTGAATTACTCAGGTAAGTAATGAATATCCTTTGCAAAACATATTTAAATAGGTCGCAACGTAATTAAGTATGGTTTTTAAGGTGTGTTTTTTTTAGCTTTGGTTTGAAGGACACGTATTAAAAAATTATTCCAAACTTTAATGATAAAACTGACAAACGACAAACAAAATGGCCATTAAGAGAAAAAAAAAACTATACTTGCAGCTAGGTAATACAGGAGTATATTTTGTATAAACTATAACATTGCGCTTTATAGATTTACAGAACGTTAATTCCACGTAGATACTCATTGTTTCCCAATATGGTAGCCTAAGTAGTATCAGAGTAAGATGTTTATTGCGAGTGTCAAATAACTTTATTAGGCTATATTTATCGGCTGTGATCCCTTCAAATCTAACATTTGCAACTTTGTAGCTTGCTGAAATTGGACGCTGCCTTTTTCTTATACTTTACTTTACTTTTCAATGAAATGGTAAGGTACCAATAAATAGGAAGTTGTATTTGAAGAAGCCGAGTCTACCATTATATTTTTATTTTACGGGATTATCATTCTAAATAACTGTAATATGTAAGGAAGTATATAATAAGACAAATCCGTTGTAAATCAAAACAATAGCATGGTTTTTAGTATTTTTCAAATGTTAAGAAATATTGTTAAGGTAGGATTACAAATAATGTACTCGGAGTTTTTGTTTATCGATCGTTCCTGTATTTTAGTTATATCATTTTTAGTATGCCCATAGAGTTACTTTTTTAGTTGATGGTTCAATATTTGAGGTCTGAAGGAAACACTGTTTGTTCGATTGTTGTCTTCCAAATGCCTAATCAGCTGTTTGCGTTGATGCATGCGCTACTATGCTCAGCTGATGTAGAAAGATGTCTCATTGACTGTGTTTTCTGAATGCAGTGGGGTTTAGATGTGCGTCGTACCTGATAACAGTAACGTTTAAATCAGTTTATATTAACCACACAGTAGGGAGCGGGTACTCTTTTAAGTATTTATCACCCTAATGGATCAGCTGCGCACGATCTTAAGATATGTCGTTGTCCTGTACTTAGAGTGTGTTTTAATGTATGCCATTTATTATAATTCTACCAACCTCAAACAGCCAAATAAAATTATTAAACTTTGAATCTTATTTTCCTTTAAAAATCCCACTAAAAGGCAACAATTGTTAAGAGACACTCTAGTAAAAGTGAAAACATTGTAGTAAACATATTAAAAACATCTTTAAGTTTTACAACAACGAGAGTGTTGTCGTATCCAAAGTCAACGATAAGACATAGTAGACGATAAGATGAGAATCTGATAATTATTTCGCAGATGTGGGACCCAGAGACCATATTTCAGTGACACTACCGCCGCGCCGCTCAGCTACATCGATTTTCGATGTTTCCCGCGCATCGCGCACCTCTCCCGCCAAAACACGGCGAAATTGTGAAGCCTATGATCGAATAACACCTTGTTGTGATGTGTCACCTTATTGTTCATGAAATTACACCTTAATGTTAATGAAATTACTTTTTTGTTTATAAAATTACACAATTTTGGTGTACAAAATTGCATTATGTTGGTCAGTAAGTGATACTTTATTGTGACTAACATAACGAACTTTTGTGAATAATGAGATGCATTAAGTGCTTATAATACCATTGTACTTTCAAAAAAATTACATAATAGTGAACATAAAACTATATCTGTATTCATAAAATAATGCCTTGTTGAGTAGGAAATCATGACTTGTTTTGAATGAAAATAATTTGTTTATGATGTTTTTACTTTTTCTAAAAAAAATATTAACGTGCGAATAAAATTAAGAGTACTATAAGTAACTTTATACTTCATAAAAGTGCAAAATAGGGTGTATATTTTATAATTTCATAATCAGGCATTGAAATCCATGGACGGACTAAATAATTAAATAAAACCATTACGAAAATATCTAACGATTTATTTGTACGATGATAATAGCCCTATTCAAACTTATATCCCACCCCATACTCTTATATGAGCAATTTTCACTAGAATGCTTGCACAAAGATGCCTAAAATGGCTTCGACGATTTGTTTCAAAATGTTGTAAATATTGTATGTCTGGCCTAAAAACGTCTTTACGGTAGTTAAAACTGCAAACAAAAATCTAATTACGTAAAAAAAATAATTTAAAGTAAAAATTCCTTAGCATTGGCCTTATGGGTTGCCAAGTAATCATAATGTAAGAAAAATACTCCCAACATGTGTTATAACAAGCCATCTACAGTATACTAGAAAATTATAAATACAGTGCAAAGGGAAAAACATCAGTTGTTACTATTGAGCAAAAATTACACTGAAGATTACTCCTCGGTATAGGGGTTCAATGGAAATAAACTATACCGAGCCATGACCATAACTCGGCCCCCAGGTACTTGAAAAGCTAAACACAAAAGGTAACATATTCTAAGAACCTAAGTGCTATTTTGTCGATTTCAGTGTTACGACTAGGCATCCACGTCACAGTCTTCAAACAGTAGGCCCCTACGTACAATAGGATGAAATCTATTTGCTCAAAGTCGGCAATACGATTACGATATATTTACTTACATTTAACAATAGCTAACTGTATAAATTATAATGACACTTTTAGCTTTGTATCCATACCCACTCAACATTCCCCTGAATGGCCGAATAGAAGTATTAAAATAAACGAAGCTTTAGAATCAGAATTATAACTCTCCCCACTCAAACATTAGCAGTGTTTGGAGACTGGCGTATGCTAATAAGGTATAAATATCAGCAACCGTGTAGTTGACATAAATGGTTACAGTCTGTATACCTACTTAACTCTGCCTAGTACTTATCTCTGCTTGCTTTACACCCTTGAAAAAATAAAACTGAACTGAATTTAAATATTTTATTAATAAATGCGTTGTTTGTTATAAATTTGTTTCTATACATTTTTTATGTATTTAGGATTGTAGTTTTTCCTAATTTAAATAAATTAGTGAAGTCATTTTGCATTAGTCACTAAATTAAAAACATTAATAATGTTTTGTTTCTAAAAAAGTATGTATTTTATGTGATACATTGCATCAGTTTGTTTTCTTTCTGCAAGCGTTTGGAACGTAGTATTCAACTTAAATCAGTTTTTTTTTTTATCCATACCCAATACGGTGAATGGTTGCATTTACTTAAATGAAAATCTATATAGCTTATTATTGAAAACCACCAGGTAGCCTATAACCCTGGTAGAAAATATTATTTAAAGACTACACAATTTTCGGAGGCTGAAAGGTCAACTTATGTTTGTGTTCGATTCGATAAAATATCAAAGCTTAAATAAACATAGCCTCATGCCCACCCTTAACCTTAACAATCTACCAATAACACCTGGTGAAATTGAAGCAGTCAATCTTTGCAAGGAGAAAATCTTATTTGTGGCTTTATTGTTTATTTAAATAATGATGTGTATTATGAGCTGCAATTTATAATTGTTTTAATAGCTACTTTTTTTTAATAATTTGTGTTAGTTTAGGGTGTCATTCAATGGTAATATTTTTATAATTATAGCAACGCTCTAAGGTTAAAACTAGTTTAGAATATAAACCCCAAAAACCAAAAAATAAGTGCACGAAATTAAAATAAAAAGTTTACTGTATGGTTTTAAGTGATGCAAACATCATAACTATATTGTTGACGCTATTCCCTGTATAGCTTGAGAGTCAAACAAAGCTTATTCCTAAGATATACGACATAAAGTTGCGAAGCACGGTTAAAGATAACCCACAATACAATATTATTTCCCTTCTCAGAGCAAAGCTCGGCCCACACCAACCTGTTGCTAGAAGGTTGGAACGTTGCGTGTCCTTAGCGAACCTCACTCCCGTCCTGTTAGGATCTTCCCCATCACCTGCGGAAAACAAATATGTAAACTTAAATTGTAAGTACTAAGAACAGAAGTCAGTTAATTTTTGACGGTTTACTGAAAAAACAGCTGTTCTTGATCATTGGGGTAATACATGGTCATGGATTAAAAACAGCTGTTCTTAGTCAGTAACATAGCAATAGTCATATCACTCCTTTCTACACTTTCCTCTTCCTTCATATTTTGGTTTAAATACTCTCATTACCGTCCTCATTTTAATTATAACTAATATCTCTCCTGTAACCATCATATAGTACGAGTATGCAATTAGGCATTAAACTATAGTACCTAAATTACAATAATGGCATTATCCATGGTAAAAAATAGTTCGTGACTACACATATTCTTTGTTTTAATAAATTTTATAGCCCATTCCAGTCCGTAATAGAAGAAAACGTATAAAAGTTTTGATATTTCAGCTGTAATCTATATATTTATACAAGAATGTTTCTTGAAAAACTTTTTTCTTAGCTCGTGTGCATTGTAGGGAGAATCTACACATACTGTTAGAAAGATATTTGTTTGTATGTGTAGAGTTCCTTTATAAATTGAAATATTAAAGAATCATTGAATTTAACATTTAAACAAACTAACATGGGCCTTGTGGGTTCCAATGTTGGTGACGAGATTCCAACGAAATATAAACAGAAAATCAAAACAAATGGAGGAAATTCCAATCACATGTTTATTTAAAGCGTGGGGTGAAATTAGAAAAGTTTGCAAAATACATATTTTTGGTCGAGTTTTCGACCGCGGTAAAGGAAGCGGGGTTAGCGCTTCTAGTCTGTGTGTTAATCATATGAAGATAGGTGTGTTATACAATTCACTTAATTTAAATAGTTTTGATTTGTTGATAAAAAAACAATCACTGAAATTTAACGCAATTCTTAAATTTTATTCTTCTAAATTCTGAAGAAATTATTTATTAAAAAACAATAGGGAATGTTTGAAACCAGATCAAACTCTTAGATACGCATTAAAACACAACGTGAGGTTTTATATGAATGCATCGGTCTAAAATATGATAATTTCGTCGAATTCACCTCATCAGTACACTACTGAAACTGCTAAAACACCTGTTTATTCCAGTTGACACAAACAATCAGCAATGAAAGATTTTTGCTGATGACATTCCTCCATTCCCCAGGTCAATCAGTCTGATAGAGGAATCACTGATCACGTAATTTGGTTAACGAGTCAATCTGTTACTGGGGTCACCCTGTCCTTTATAAGGAAGAAATACTACATACAGTATGTTGAGTATGTACTAGTAAATGTCTACAGTATTTGGTACATAGTATACTACATTTTACCATAAACATAAAAAATACACTTTCCAAGTAACATACATTCTATGTTAATTTTTTTTCAACGTTTGGAATCAAATAAATACGGTCAATTTAGCTAGTTGCAAAGTTTTCTCTAAGTACCAACTAACATAGTATAAAAAACAAAATAAAGCAATAGTAGCATGCTCCTTGATAGAATTTATTAAACTTGTTCGAAAAAAAAACTTTAACTATTGATCCAACTAGATTCCATCTTCATGTTAGAGTTGTCGCCAATTTGTTTGATCAAAATGGTCGTAGTTAAAGTGAGCCATCTGATTGCGCTGATTTAAATTACGGATATCTCTAGAATTAACTAAATCGTTGACCAAATTAAACAAATAGAACTTATTGCTATAGAAGCTATAGCAATTTTAATAGCCCATAAACTATATCAGCAACAAATATAAGGGACAAATGTAATTTTCTGCGGATGGCTTACCTAGGTACGTTATTTTTTAACAGGATTTGGTGACAGCTGTTCCATATAGATGGGATGTCTACATCAGTAAAAAAAGTGAATGGTGAAATTAAGTTTAAATCTATGTGTGTAGCCCCTGTAAATTACTTACGTAATTCCCGTCACAGCTCAATGAAATATGTCTATTCAGGACATGTTTCGGTGTTAAAACACCATCGTCAGCATTACGTAAGTAATTTAGTCTTACATTGTGAAATTAAGGTTCGTCCACATAGGAGAAAGTTTGTCGTCAAATAAACAATCTAGCTAAAAATTTCTCCAGGTCTTTCATTCGAGTATGTGTTTAATAGGTTGAAGAATATTTTCTTAAAAGGTCGTGTTCATCATGAAGTTTTACATGGATTCCTTAATGGCGTTTGTGAGGGTTTATAAAATGATTTGTAAGTTAAAGAATTAAACTGTTTTCATTTCTGACGGTCCATAAAGTTCACAAGGACAGGAAGGAAGAAACTTTGGTCTTGGTCCATCTGACGGCTGGCCAGTAACGTTGTGAATGAACGCACGGCAGTTGACCGACTATAAATACGTGTGTTATTAATTACTACGCCATCGCAGTTCCGGAGAACTTCTGCTACAGACACACGCGGATCCAACTTCTTTACACGTTCAACCTCCATTGAGTAAATCAATTTCTAATAGGTGTTTTAATCTAAATATTGTATATGATTATGTCATTCAACGATTGGCAGTATACCATACATCCCGAATATATTATTACCTCCAAACTAAGACCACTGCTCTACACAAACTGTACTAAACTAAGCTAACCTAACTAAGCGGGATTTGAATCCGGGACCTCAGGGACCGAAGTCCCACGCTCTACCACTAGACTAAACGCTCCCCGGTCACTTAAATTGGTAATAGAACTGCAACAAAACTTTACTTTAGGTTTGTCTGTTATTGAACTAATGGGGGAAAACTAAACACTAACTCAGCTATTAGCCATAACACATTCTTCGTTTGTATTAAAACATTAATTAATACAGTATTTGTTTACGGTAGCGTCAAGTGTGCATGTATGTTTCCTATATTTTCGTAGATCGCTAAGTCGTTAAATATAATGTTTAATAATGTTTACTAGAGGAACAGCATCCGTTTACAAATAACGATTCCTTTGTAGTTATAATAGTTGGTAAAATAATGATAAGCAATCAGTGAATACCAAAACGCACTCTACGTATACCGGATAGAAAGACAAATCAAAACTGTCTTAAGCTGATAAAATAATGAGGCCCCTAAAAGAAAATGTATCCATAAAAGTTTGTTTTCAATAGTATCAACCAACTCACGGTGGAAATAATACACAAGTCAAAACAGGCTTCATAATTACAACAGAACGAGAGATATACAAGCAGAATACAAAGTCAACGAAACAACATTCCACATGAGTTGAGCATAGTAGGATATGACAACAATGCAATAGTACAAACAGCTGACTAAGCAAATAGAGAACAAACGATCAGTTCATCTACAGGCAAATTCAAAGTAATAATACCCCCGCCGCAGCAAACCTGCAGACTAAGCGAATTTCCATTTGACTGATTGGATTTACACTAAAATGTCTACTTAAAAATATAACATTTATTCTTGATTTAAATAGAATTAGTTTAACAAGTACTTAGGTTTGCTGCATCAGGGAGGGTAAAACTGTTTTTTTTTTGTAAAATGTAAATAGTTAGTAAGAAATAAAAACATTTTCCAAATTTGATCAAAATATGTTCACAAACAAGCAAACTACAACAGTTTACTTATTCTCCATAAGAATAACATGGGAATTTTAAATTTAACATTTTTTGGAATTTTCTCCGTAACCATTAGGCGCATAATAACGCTTCAATGTACTAAATTATTTTTTTTTTAAGCTCTACAAAATGGTTTGGAAAGAAATTGCTAAATTTTATGTTTTTTGGGTCAAAAATGGGAAAAACCGATTTTTACCCCATAAAACCCCCCGTAAACCCCGTTCCCATGGTCCGATCATGCTGGATCGCGAACTCGTTCGAATAAACGTATGTTTACACGTTTGTACCAAATTTCATCAAAATCGGATCATTTTTGCTCGAGTTATCGTGCTGACGGACACATATATATCTATAAGTATAAAAGAGGATGTTTGTATATATCTTCTATATATAAAATTCTCGTGTCACAGTGTTTGTCTGCAAACTCCTCCGGAACGACTTCACCGATCGTTATGAAATTTGGTGTGTAAATTCTGTAGGTATGCGAATCGGACGTAAACTATTTCCCGTTTCGAAATTCTTAAAAGGGCTCCGCCCCAGTGGCTCTGGAGTTTCCCATGTTAACCTTATGAGAAATGGAATTAATGAATCTTAACAGCTGTTTCAATTAAACAAGTTGGTTCTGTTCTATGATGTTCAATAGCATTTAAGTTACAAGGATTACCAACAGGGTGCAGCACTATTATTTCTTTTACATTTATGACAACAGCTAATTTGCAACCAAAAGGTGAGTGAGCGTAACGAACGAACTTCAACCTGGAGGCGAGTTAGCGTAGCGAACGAGCTAACCTGAAGGCAAGTGAGCGTAGCGAACGAGCTAACCTGAAGGCAAGTGAGCGCAGCGAACGAGCTCCAACCTAAAGGTGAGTGAGCGTAGCGAACGAGCTCCAACCTAAAGGTGAGTGAGCGTAGCGAACGAACTTCAACCAGGACGTGATTGAGCCATGCGAACGAGATCATCTCGAAAATTAAGAAGTTAAGCGGGGCAAAGCCCGCGGGATTATAAATAGTCAAAGGCAAGACAACGTCTGCCGGGTTCAGCTAGTATATATATATATAAATATATAAATATATATATATATATATATATATATGAATTTGAACGGATGGTGTTTTTGGCCTCTAGGGACCTCAAAACGGAAAAAAAATCGGTCCCGCGTCCAGGTCTTACCATGAGTACTACGGTAATAGCTTATTCCCTATATGGGAAATTCGCTAAAAGCACGAGAAAAGTAACTTTTAATTATTTCCACTACTTCACTTTAAGGCTTTAACAATACTGTAAATTTGTAGAATATTTTACCAGTTTGACATGATTAAAAGACTACTGAAGTGTCTGAGATTACTGTGCTAAACAAGATCACAAATTTTTTTTTAAATCCGAAACCGGATAGAAATACACATTTAATAATGGAATTCATTCACTTCAAGTAG